TCTGTCTGACAATGAAAATCCGTTGTATTGTAAAATTCGTTATATCAAAATTCGTTGTAAAAAGAGTTGACTGTATACATTTAAAAATTATACAATATATAGGTTTATATAATATTTATTTGAAGAAGTATTTTATCTATTCAAAATATATTTAAATAATATTATTTTTTATATAAATTTAGTAAAAATAAATGAATTTTTTGAATATTAAATAAAATTTGTTAATCCAAAGATTTTAAAACCTATCTGAATTCATTTATATTATTAATTTTTAATATTATAATAATTAGATTATTTGATATAGTTTTAGATACTAATTCAGAAATAGTTATAAAATTTTTTTCATAAATATTATTAAAATAATTTATTAAATAATTATTTAAAAGATCTATATTTATTCTTTTAATAACAGAAACTTATCAGAATAATATTTACTTCTGATAACTGTTTTTCAACTTTAAGATTATAAAATTATAAAATTAGCAAATTTCATTAAACTTAAAATTATTATACATTGCTATTTTTCAAATTCTTTTTTAGTTATATCAATTTCAAGTATTTAACAAGTTTAACATTATCTAAATTATTAGATAAAAGATCATCTAATCACCAGTTTTATATAATAATTTGTAATATTTTTAGTTTATAAATTAGATTATGATTATAAAAAAAATATATAAAATAAAATAAAATATTTAATAAAATAAGTATTAATTTATATAAAATTAAAATCTATTTAAAATACTATTTATTCTTTTAAATAAGTAATACTAAAATAAATATAAAAATCAATAATCTTAGTAGTATTTTACAAAGTGAAGGAAAAGATGAATATTTAGTATTATTATTTCTGATCTATAATTATCTTTTATCAAAAGAGCAATAAATAATATATGTTTTTTATTTAATATTTATTTATTATTTAGAATACTAATAAATAATATGCTCTAATAAAATTGGCTAAAATTTGTTGATTATTATTATTTATAAAATCTTATATAATTAAAATTATAAGTTATTATAAATATTTTTTATTAATTAGCTATAAAGTCAAAAAATCCTTTTTCTATTTCTTATTTATAAGAAATTTTTTAAATTAGTTAAGATCTTTATTTTTTGATTTAATTTTCCATTAACTTAAAGTTTATTTTAAAAATTTTATTTTTATTAATATACAATTTCTTTACAATTTATTATATAATTCCTAAAAATAGATTATAAATCAGATTTATAATAAGATATCTTATTAGATTATAATAAATTAAAGTTGTTATCATAATCATAATCATTAAATTAAATAATATATAATTATATTTATAATTATTAATTATGCATTTATAAATTAAAAATTTATAAAGTATAATATAGAATTAATATATTATTTATAATTATTTTATAATGTATAATTCAATATTTAATTTTGATTGGTTAATTATTTATATAATAAATATAAAAACTTTTTAAAAATCATAAATTATTTATAAAATTTATAAGAAAAAAAATACTAAATTTATTTATTGTAAAAAAATATTTCTACATTTATATAATAATATCCTTTATTTAAAATCCTTCAAATTTTTCATCTATCAAATTTTCAAATTAAGATCTTCTTTATTTTTTGAATTAGCTTCTCTTTGATCATTATCTTGATAAAAATCTGTATTATTATTGAAAATTATAGCATTTAAATTCAAAGTTGTAGTAATATTTAAATCAATATCTATTAATCTTTTTAAATCTTCTCTAAAATTTATATTAATATTTTCTTTCTCTTTTTTATCTAATTCATATTAGTTGAATCAGTTAATAAATTAATTAACTTTTTAACAAATATATTTTCTTTAGTATAATATAATTAATTTATAATTTATTTTGCATTTTTAAAATACAAAATCTTTGAATTTTAGCTATTATTTCAAGTTATAATATAAATAAATTAGTATATTAAGTATCTATAAACTAATTTAAAATAGTAAAAAGTCTTTATATAAAATACTATATAGTGTTATAGTAAAAAAAAATGAATAGTTATAGTTTCAAAAAGATTAAAAAAAATTTTGTATATTATTTATCAAATTAAAGGAATATTATAATTCTTAACATTAAAGATGGTCCCCATAATTATTTTCAAATTTCAATTAAATTGCAACTTAATTGCGTTATAAGAAAATTTAATTGCGTCACAAGTTGCAATTCAATTGCGCTATTTTTTTTAATTGCGATGACTATCTTTACTTAACATAAAGTAAATTAAATGGTATTTATCTTAAATCAAATTTATGTATTTGATTAATTATACTTTAATAATTGATTTTATTATATCTTATATATTTTAGTATTTTTGTAATGATTAAATCCAATTATTAAAAAAGTATTAATTTTAAATTTTATTCTAAAATTATTAAATTAATTAATAATAATATTGTAATCAGGTGTTAATTTTAATGATTACAGATCTATAAATATGTAGCAGAGTATAGAATATCAAAAATGTTAAACATATTAAACATTTTTAACATGTTTAATATAGTTAATATGTCTAATATATAAGATATGTCTAATATAATTAATATATTTAATATGTTTGATATATCAATATATGTTATAAAATAGATATAAATATAAGCCTTTTTGTAAGTTAGAAAAGACAGATTAATGGCTGTATAGAAATTTATTTTTTATAAAAGATAGTATAATATTACTCTTCACTTCATGTACTCTTTTTTCTAATTTCTATTCTTTTATTTCATATTTTATTATCCTTTTTTATTTCTCTTTTTTCAATAAAGTATTTATTATTTTTATATTATAAAAACTTTTTGTGATTCTATTAAAAGCTTTAACCTGTAATTTAAGCTACTTGAGTAAAGTAAACTCAACACAACTTGACAAAACTAGTAGTAAAACAATTAAATCTAGTATATCACTCATTAGAATTATATATAAACTATAAAAAAGTTAACCTTCTGACATGTATCTAACAGTTATAATCTGAAAAGATTACACATTAACAATATAAATAATATATTATAATTAAAACTTATCTTTATACTTAGGATATAAAAAGTAAGTAAGTAAATATAAATCATTATCAATTTTTCATTTATTAAATAATTCAAATAATTAATTAATAAAATTAAAATTAAGATTAGTAAAAAGATTATTAATTGTAATAACAATTTTATCTATTATTATAAAGCAATCTGTTAGATTTAAATTGTATTCTTTTATTTCAGATATAGCAATATGAATTAGTTTTAAAATATTAACTATAACTTACAATATTAATAAAATTCATCATAATATAAAAGTTATTTTATCTTATAATTAGCAAGTAAATCAAAATAGTTTTCTGAAATTTATTAAAAAAAATTTTAAATTAAAATAAAAATAAAAATAATATAATGTAAATTTATTATGATTAAATAAATACACAATCTCTAAATTAAATTAAGATAATTATAATATATATATTATTTAATACTAGTATATTTTTTAATCTATCACCTTGTATATTACAGTCAACTCTTTCTACAATGAATTTTGATATAACGAATTTTACAATACAACGGATTTTCATTGTCAGACAGATT